ATTTCACATTCTCACATTTACTAATTTACCATGTTTTACCAGATTGACTTTTCAGTCATATTTCCTGCTATTTTCATATTCTGAACGTTACTAATTTACTCTTATTTACTTAATTCTATTTCTGAGCAGCTACAGTTATTTTTGAATAATTTTTTCTTTAAGTTGAAAGTATTTATATTATAATTTTATCCCGATTTATTAAATTTCAGTCTCGATTCATTAAATTTACTTTTGTGTCATATTTTTGCTTAATTCGATATCGTGAGTGTTATTAATTTGCCATAATTTATTAAATTTTTACTTTTGATTCTCGTGCCGAATCGGATGTTTTTAATTAATTATTAAATTAATAATATACCATTATTTACAAAAATTAAACTATGTACAGTAATTTACCTCGATTTATGCCTTTTTAACACTTAATCTATTTAATTTGAAATTTATACTAGTAATTTATAATATTAGTTATCTATATATATATATAAAGAAAAATGTCTGTTTGTGTGTTTGTTCCGATTAACTCAGTCACTTCTATAGCTATCGTCAACAAACTTTTTATCATTCTTTTCTTAGTCTTGGAAAAGGTCGACTTCTACTTTTATTCCTCCAAAATAGCTAAAATCAGAGATATTAATTAAAAATTCCAAAAAAACTGATTTTCGCCATCATTTTCCCGAGTGGCAACAGTCTCGCACACTGGAGATAAAAATCTGCTTTATTTCGAAAAGTGTTGCCACTAATCGCTTTCAAATAGCAGAGTTTGTTAATAAAAATTTCGTACTGAATATTATACTGAACTTCGTATTCTAATGAAATGAATGTTGAACATGCATTCAGATGAAAAAGAAATATGAAGCATATCAAATTAATATAAACCTATCAAGAGCTGTGGGGAAATGGCAATTTTAACTTTCCCCATTAAAGTCTAAAACCTTGAAGTAGAGAGTATGAATAGAACTTTAAAAGGATTAAGATATAAAACTTTAAAAAAAAAAAAAAAAAATCTGAAATTTTTTCAGATTTTAAATTACGTCTAAAGGGGCGTTTTTTTAACGTTTTTGAGTGTTACCTTTATTTATTTATTAAATATCATGTTCTTTGCACTTAAACCATAAAATTCAGTTCAAGAGCAATATCGCAAAATAATGTTAAATTAAGCATATCTTTAGAATTTCCGATATACACAGTCCTCGCGAGCTGGAGATAAAAGTATTTTTTTTTCTATATAACGTTGCCATTTTCTCGCTTTTAAAGCATTGAGTTTGTAAATCAAAAATTCGTTAAAGTTTTACAAATATAAAATCTATAATAAAACAAATTCCAAATTTGGGATTTCAGATGCCCATATTTCGCAGTAGGATTTCGTCATTCAAAATTCGATGGCTCTATGTACCATTGTTTTTATCAGAATGCGAGAAATAGACAATCATTTATGCAGATTTTTCATTATTTAATTTCTTCAAATATAATGCAGGACTCTAACATTTTGTGGCAACAGTTTGAAAAGTGAACCGACGTTTATGAGTCCGACGCAAAATGCCAAAACGAAAGCAATAGTCCTTCGGGACTGAAATCCCTTTGGACTAAAAAAAAAAACTGCTTCTAAATAAATATAATACCTACTACCTACTCTCTATTCATAAAACTAATTTTTCTCTATTGAATAACATTAAAACTCAACTACATGAAACGTGTATTCTATATATTATTGTAAGGTTTCAACGTAACCATTATCTTTTTTCTTGCCTTTTTTAAAATACGCATGATAGTGCAGATACGGTGTGGTGTGGTGTATTTAATTATGGCAAAGCACACTAGGGCTATCTGCCTAAGAGGAGAGGACTTTCTAAGGAGGACTGGAGGACTTTCTAAGGGAAACTGGTTCCTAGTGCAGATATGAAATTAGAAACTTGGCAGTGGAATCAGAAATTAGTAGAATTAGAATCTTGGCAGTGGACCAGTTTAGAGTGTTAGGCTAACTTAGGTTATTTGAGTATGAAAAATCACTCTAGCGCTTCCTGCCTAAAGTAGGGATTTTCTAAAGGAAACTGGCTTGTATAGTTAGACATAGTTAGAGTGTTATAAACACATTAAAGTGATGATACTGGCAGCATAAAATTTCACATATTATGAATTGCTGGTGAGAAATTTTGGTAAAGGGAGTGTTTAAAAGGTTAACTTAACTACGTATTCAGCAACATTGCTTCATAATATAGGATATAAATTAAAAATAATATCAGTCATCAATTGGCACAACCTCCTAGTTAAGTCAAGTGAGATTTTATAGAAAGTGAAAAAGCATATAACTTCTTTAAGGCATTGACAAAATATCGCCGATCTGCAGTGTACTAGTTTTTAAATGTCTTAGAAATGCTTATACGTAAGCTACAATTAATAAGCACAGAATTTAAATATAAGAAACTGAATATTATAAAATTAAAAGGAAGGAAAGTAGAAAAGGAAGGGAAAAAACTTGTATCCTCAAATTTTCAGATTAAATTCTAATATCCTAGGTAAGAATTTACCATTCAAAATAAATTTTGATTTTTAAATAAATTTCAAATTCAATTAAAAATCATTAACAAAATTCTGGCGTTTGTTTCTTCTTTTCTTTTAACATAAATGTTATTAATAGAAAAATATCAAAACATAAAAAAGACATTGCTTTTCGAAAGGATTATTTATTGTTTAGATAAAATTTAAAAGGGAATATATTCAGGTAAATAGAATTGTTTCTTTTATGTTATTATAACTCAAATTACTTCATTATCCGCATTTAATTTTATTTGGAGTGCAAATCGTAATATTAACGAGAATTGAAGAAAGAAAATTTGTCATTGATATAATGAGAGAGTTTTGGAAACCTGGTTTATTTATAATAAGGATGGCAATAAGATTTACAAGGCAATTTCTGCTTCCTTGCTGAATGCTTTCGTAGTATCACCTCGAAGAGTCTTTCATGGGTTAGTCTCGGAGCACGTCCGACTGGAATGCGAAATATACAGAATTCGAATCTCGGCGAAGGCATAAATGATTTTTACTTATTTTGTGCTGTGAGATAACTCTATGAAGTGTTAAGATTCACGGGAAATGTTATTGAAAAGTAATTAAAAGAGCCTTTTAGATGATTTCTAGCCCATAAGTACTATTAGTCTCTAAAACTAGTCTAAAACGCCATTTTGCGTCGAGTCACTTTAAATGTTCCAATTACTTTTCAAATTGTTGCTACCAAATACTATCGATCTATATATTTAAAGAAACTAAATAATGAAAAATCTGCAAGAAGGTATGTATATTTCTCGCACTGTGAAAAAACAACGGTACCTAGAGTCATCAAATTTTGAATAACGTAGTCCTCCACCCGAACCTGGAAGCCAAAATTTGGAATTGCTATTGTCTGTTTCATGTTTTAAAAAACTTTAATGAATTTTTTATAAAAAAATATCAGAAATTTCAAAGCGAGCAGTGGCAACACTGTGACATTAGCCCAAATGTTTTTGAAACGTGTATGTGTTTATAAATGGGAAAAAAAAAAAAAAAAAAAAAAAAAAAAAAAAAAAAAAAAAAACGCTTGTTTGGGCGTAATATAAAGTCTGAAAGCTTGCAGATTTTATTTTACTTTATTTTTTTTTAATATTATTGAGCATAGAAAATATGCTATGTTTCGTACACAACCACAGTTCTGTACCTTTATTTGTTATGAACAGAACCTACCAAATAAAACCATACAACTCCTTTGATGTGTTAAACAGAGCAAAATACATTAGTAAATCGGAAGAAATAACGTTTGTTGCTTCTGACATATTGGCAGTGATTTTCATGATGCCAAAAAGTGTAGACTTAATTACATGCATTAAATATTAGTCCTGGCACTTGGATAATATTCACTTAATTAGAGATTCTGAATATCATCGAGGATTCTTACGGTATGTACAGAATATTGATTTTATTATATGACATCGGCAACACAAATGATTTTCTCGGAAAGTAATTAACGTGCTATGAGACTCGAATATCACTGGCTGTCCTTACATTATTTAAAATATATCCTGCAAGCCTTAGTATCTTGAAATATAATAAGTCTCCAACCGGGCCAAAGGTTTGACTCCGAAATCCTAGCTTTCCCAACAACACCATGAAAACGAGGTTATTTTCTTGAGGACAAATATTAAATGCCTATAGTACTTAATTATTGGTCTCTTTTTACTTCCTTGTACGAAGTATTGGAATCACGAAAAATTCCAGATACCATATTTCAACGAAAATATCCATTTGAAGTCCAAAATATCCGTTGAAGTGACACAGAGTGCTGTCGAGCATTACGTAAAAGCATTCTACTATCGTAAATCATCTTCTTTGAGCGAGTTTCGAGCGTACGCATCGCTACAGGAATATGGAACTCATTGACATCTATTTTATCGGTGAGTGTGTTGCTAAAATGGAGCAGCTACTCAAAGGCCGTACCAAGAAAGAGTCTTGATTTATCTCTTTAGAGATTCTTGAGTATTTCCTTTTCCATCCGGCACCCCATAGACAAAATGCATGTTGCTAGCTCTGTATTAATGCTGAGAGAGTTAGGTAGGACAGGAAAGCAACAGATAGCTAATTAAGCACAAGTTAGGTAGGCGGGCTAGGCGATGGGAATTTTATAAGAAAGAAAAGTCAGACTTACAGTTAGCTCAGTCCTATAGGAAAAAAAAAGAAGAAGAGGACGAAGAATTACTCGATGGAATGAAGCTAACAGGTAAACATTACAGACATGGGAAGTAAGGCCAGTGTTGGTCGCTCTTCCCTGCCTAACATGGCCTGCGACAGAGCTCGCTTGCTATGATTAACTATGAAACTAACGAATGTAAAACGACAACGAATAAGTAGTGCTTAACATATTTTTAACTGAAAAGTAATTTTGCAAATAAGTTGCAGTGCCTGCTGTGTTTATAGTTCTATACTGATGTTCAATTTGACGGAACACATTCTAAGTGCTTTTTCTTCTTCTAAAGGTGGTGACAACAAAACATGCCTTGGACTATATTTCTCTTCTGCTGTCTGGCAGCAGTCAACTCTGCGTCAGGTAAATGGACATTACTTTTACGCCAAAACCTGTTTTAGACCTTTTGGATTTACTGCCATTTTTTAGATTTCTTTTATTGTTGTTTTTTACAGTGAAAATAATACTATATTGTTTATTTAATCTTATGTGTGGCATTCATATTATTTTATTATAATATTAATATAATATATATAGTATGTATTTATTCTGTTTTTGTTATATCAAAGTAAAATGTTAGATATATATTTTAGATCAGCAATCTCCTAAGAGCGCATACTCGAAAGAGGAAAATATTGTAAGTTAATACCCCATATAATATAATATAATGTATTATATGTGAGTATCGTGTATGCGTAGTCAAAAATCGAATTACTTATTTATTTATTTATTTTAAACAATGTACAAACATTTAAATTAAATTAAAAATTTGCGTTTTGAATTATAATTTAATGTGAGCAATGTGATTGTATTTGTTTAGTAATATCAAAAATGTCTGATTTGATGTTGTCTGTTAATGCAATTCGAAGATGTGGCTCTAATTTATTTCTGAATTTGTTTTTAAATTTTATCGGTAAGTCATTGCATAAAACGCTACTTTTTACTATTCTGTAGAATCAGATGGTGAGGTCTCCAGGCGCTAGTGAAACCAGATACAGCGAGCAATGAGAGAACTTCGTATTCACATGACACATGATCATACACTCCCAAGTGACCGTGAGTCTACTTCTTAGGTGGACCTTCGTATCATTTTGCGTACCTCCTGGAGTACGCGTACACTATTTTGGAGACGATTGTTTTAGATTAAAATTGCATTCATTTCTTATTTTTCATAATCTGTATAATTGTTTTGCATAAACAAACAGTACGGGAGCAATTTAATTTTCTTCGGAAGGGACAAGTTTCGTCAAATTCCTAAAGAATTTGTCCTTAGTACTACTATGGATTTAATGAGTCTAAAATTTTCCGCAATATAAGAAAACGAAGAAATAATAATGTATTGTTCTGTACTTTGCGGTGTACATTCGGAGTGAATTTTTTTGGCAGCGTTTCAATGCTGTAGTTCATCCTTTGCGTACGTTTCATAACTTAGGATCTGTTTCGTTTAGCTTCTCTCCTTTTTTAAAATTTTAAATTATTGGAAAGTAACTCATTAAGAAAGAAATAATTCTGTTCCGAAGTAAATAATATCCGGCTAACAACTTGGAGGCGTGTCTTATTAATTTAAATATAGCCGAACATATTCATAATTATCTATAAGGTATGTCATATACTAGTTACAAATTATATAGATAAAAATATTATTAAAAATCAAGTGAAAACAATTAAGAAATGCACATATTGCTCTTAAATTGTTTAGATTGTTACGTGCTATAGCTATATAATCTGTAGGATAAAATTAAAGATCTTATGTCACATCCGACGACAGCACTGTAAAAGATAACTATTTTCAAAATTTGGATTTATTAGATTATGGTGATGCTCACTAAAGTTTAAGGAGAGGGGTACCTTCGTGGAGAACTTTCGTAGGAAAATTGGCTTGTATTTAGTTATTTATAGCAATCAGTGGATGATAAATAAAAAATAGGTTATGTTCTCAGCAAAAGAATTAAAATCCTGTTCCATACCGCATGGATGACAACAGGTATCGCAGCGTAACGTAACATGACGCTAATAGCTAAAACCATAGAATTCCTGCATATTATGGGAAGTTTGTATTAATATTCATTTCTTTAAAATGGAAGACACTCTATTTCCATTACAGTATGGGTGATTTTAGTATTGCTCTGTGAGTTATTACAATGAGGAAAGCATTGTATTTTTCTCTTATATATTGAATTCCATTGCTTATTCTGCCTCTAACCCGTATTTCACATTCCCAAGAAATGATTTTTGATATCGGAATTATTTGCAGAAAAATTTTGCAGTTCTTGTAGAACGTGACGTTACGCTTCCATGTATTTATCATTCATATACTTAAGAAAGTGTTAACATTGTTAATACAAGATTACTTTATCTCCCACACGTCCTCATAAATAGCCATCTTCCAGAGTGCTGCCATTCGGAATGATATAAGATCTTTAAGTTATTTGTTTTGCATTCATTCTTCATACTATTAAAATTATAAATACACTTCTTATTTAATTAAGAATCTTAATTTTACTCTTTAGTATTAATTCATATGATTCATTTAAATTAATTGTTTTATTAATTACTGTAATTTAAAATTATGCAAATTGAAATACAAATTAAAATAAATTAAAATGTCGGTTGATAATTATGAGCATTTAAAATAATACTGTAATTACTAAACAATGTCCGAATGCTATAGGTACCATAGTAACTTGATTCACATTCATTTACAGATTCTGCTACATTTTTTTTATTTTTCTGTGACAGGCAAATGCAGTCGCACAGGTGCAACAGAATCCTTTATCCTGTCAACTAACGCCATGACTAGCTCTTCCAATATCTATAAGAGGATCATGGGACCGTCCCTCATTGACTGTACTCGGACTTGCTTGAATGACGTCACTTGCGAGTCTTTCACGTTCCTACGAAGCCAAAATGAAACTCAGTGCCTGCTGACAGCCGGAGGGACGGACACTTCCAAAAGATATCCGGAACACAGACTTTACCCAGCCTCTGGAACTTACCGTATGGAAAAAGTCTGCCTCAAAGGTTTGTGTGGCTGGATTTTAAATTTTCTTGCGCAAATTTTATTTTATGGGAGTTTATGTAATTAAATTGAAATCGGTTGACTCTGCTTTAAATATACACGACGCTAAAAATAGTTTTACTACTTAGACGAATGCAGCGAATGTTTTCTGTAAAGCTTTGTCGAAAGCGGGAAGGGGGGTTACGTCATTAACAAATTTCGCGTACCGCAAAATCGCGTTCCGAAAAGTTAACTTTCTATGAAAAATATGGGTTAGGTATTCTTGAGGTTAAGAAACTATGTATAATTTATGCAAACCTAAATATTATTGCAATTAAAATGGAAAAACGGAACAAATGTTAATTGAAAGGATTTCTGATGCTGCTTAAAAATTAGGTACATGATACAAATATTTTTTCTAATAGCTAGTGATTTTTTCTTGGGGACAATGTCTGATGCAAATCATTAAATGTTTCGCTGTAAGAAGTGGAAAGTTTTCAGTGTTATAAGTGCCCCTTTCTTTCTTCACTTGGGAAGGTTAGTTAGAACTATTACATTTTGCATGGCAAAACTTGCCAATTCGAGTGGATGATAAATGAATGATAGGCTTATGTGACGTAACAATTTAAAAATTTGGAAGGTCTTGTTCAGGATGTTAATAACATCAAAAACGCTTAAACATACTGAATGTCAAGATTGCCACTGATCTAGAAATAAAACATGCTGCTACTGAAGTTTCTAAATTAATTTTCTTTTTCTCCCGACAGGTGCTTGTGATCGTCTGTTCGTGGCCGAATCGTTGAGAGGGATGGAGCTCGAAGGTCACAATGATCTTGTTGTGGGAAACAACACTCGTTTGTCATGCTTGGAGTCGTGCATCAACAGTCGAGATCTGAACTGTAGGTCGGTGGAGTTCGACTCGAAGACTTCAGAATGTCGACTCAGTCGACACGACCGATTTAGCAGGAATACCCATTTCAAGAAGTCAACATCGGCCCACATCGAGTACTTTGATGTCACTTGTCCCTACCAACAACGTTAGTCTACTTTTTTATTTGTAACTTTTGATACCTTTCGCTTTTAAATTTCATTATCAAAGTGTTCTTTCTTTGACTTGAGTATTAAATAATGATAACATTATTATAATAATTATTTGTCTCTTTCGATTATTAAGATCTTTTTAAATACCTGTTCTAACTTATCGGTTTACTTTTCAGTTAAATTATGGCTAGTTAAGTATGAACATTTTCTCTTTAAACTGAGTGTCCTTTCAGCTGCTTGATTATTATATATGTGTCATTTTTTACGTTTAATCTACCATTTCCAAACGTTTCTGATTAACCCATTAAATATTAATTATTAAGTTCAGAATTATTTACCTAGTGTAATAAATCTGAATTAAATACTAGTTAGATATTAAAATTAAACTGCTTTAATTAAACTAGTTAACAGCTCTTTAAAACTATTACAATTTTTTAAATGTTTATCATATCTTTCTTTTACTATAATACCTCTGATTATTACATTTTCTGTTGGTTTTTATATCTGTACTACTACTACAGGTGATTCAGAATTCATCATCAATATTTGGTGGGGAGGTAGGGAATAGCAAAAGAAGGAGATTTCACATAGGAAAGTAAGGGCGCAGTCGAACGCATGGTGGTGTAGAGGGTGCTGTGTGTACACAACTTCCTTACATAAGCACAGCTGTTTGACGTGTGCAGCCAGACGTCTTTCGACTAGGTGACATTTCAGAATTAACATGAACCGGTATATGTGGAATGAACTTACATATATCCATGTAAATACCAGGCATATTCCAGAAGGTCCGATTGTCCATGCAACGCCGTTGTGAGTCATGCATTCTAGCACATGGTCAAGTTGGATCTTTTTTGCCACAGAATTATTAATATAAGTTTTTCTTTTTTCTACTTCATGAATTTCATCATTATTTAAACATTTTCCCTCGTTGTTTTATATTTTTTCGTTCCAAGGTAAGGATCTTAAGTTTTACTAACGTTTATTTTATTTTAAATCTTTACTATCACTTCTTATTTTCTACTTCCGGCCAGAATTATAAGCGTTAACTTATTTATGCAAAGTTTGTCTGGCGAACGCCAAGTATTTAAGTTGTGGCTTTTTGCCAAGCGAGAGAGAGGAAGCAGTTGAGTCGAAGCAGGCCGCTTACCTTAGAAGTTTTACTCAGTTGCTGGTTGCCTTCCAGGCCAGAGGTTTTAATCCTCTTGATAATTTTAAACGTATTGTAGTGTTCACAGTTCTCTGTACTACATACGGCTTCCTGTTAATATAAGGCCAATCTTCCACGTTTATTATTTCAAAGTTAAAGTTAGAGTTTAGTTTTTATTTTTATATTCTTACGTTTTAGACCACAAGTGGTGGGTCAGTGTATTCCGAAGTACGGAAATTATTGTAAATAGAGAAAAAATAAAGGGTTTTGTATACCCTTCTTGTGTATCCTGTCTACTTCCCACATTATTGAACATAGCTTTAGTAAGCTCTCTGTTCCGAGTCAGGTCCTTGCATGTTCCCGAAGAAAGTAAGAGGAACATTGAACCTGATAGTGGCGCCCAACGAAGAAGAATAACCATGGCCGAGTTTCAAGAAGAACCTGTGCTGCCTGCAGAAGCGGCTCAGAATCCAGAAATGCCAGCTGCCGCCCTGGAAGGATTTGGTTACATCGTCCAGACCATGCGCGCTTCGATGAAACCAGAAGCAACATTTAATGGAAACTCACCGGTAACCAGTTTTTTGGAAAAATTGGATGACCACTTCATGCTCTACCCCGTGCACGAGTTTCAAAAAGTTACCTTAGCTACCAGCGCTTTGAGGGGCCAAGCGCTTAACTGGTTCAAATGTATAGGCAGAAGTCTCTTGGGTCAAGCAGGAAGTCCCACCTATACTTACGAAAATTTCAAGACTGCCCTAGTAAAAGCCTTCCCTGTTCGTAAGGGATCGTGCGAAATTAGAAACGGAACTTTTCAGCATATATCAACAAAGAATCGAAAATCTCTCAAGCTTTATTTTAAGAAAAATTCACGTCTTCAAACTCTTGTATGGAAACCGTCCGGATCCTGAGATAATTCAAGTGATTTTGCCGAGGTTACTGCCCCAAGTGCAAGACTTTATTGAATTAAGGAAATCCGACTACACTGGAAAAGTTATTTGAGCTAGCAATCCAGTTTGAAAGTAGAAGAACGGCGGACACGTGAAAGAAGACGCCAATATCAACAGCGAAACCAATTTGGTGCGCCAAGACTACAGCAAACTCAAGCACACGGCTACGGAGAAAAAGCGAAGCGAATCAGTGGGCAAGGAAACCCGAGCATTCAAAAACAGCCGGCGAACGTCGACAGTTCAATAGCAAACCCAGGAAAAAAGTCTCAAGGCCAGTGGAAAAAGAAGGAAAGCACGGAAAATGAAAAATAATTTAAACTAAAACGGATTTCTGCTGACGGGAGGGTGCGGAAATCCGAAGGCCAACGAAAACCCCTCTTCCTTCAAGTTAAATACAGTAATGGTGAAAAATTTGACTCTTCCGAAGATTGAAGTGTTGGTGAATAATATCCCAGCCACCGCACTCCTGGATACAGGCGCGCAGTGTTCCTGTGTGGCAGAAGATTTTTTTAGGAAGTATTTTCGTAAATACCGCATATATAATTCGGATAATACGACAGTGTTAGCGGCGCAAGGAGAAAAATGTAAGTGCATAGGTAAAGTACCGCTGTATGTCCGTATCAAGGACGAACAAGTAAAGGTGATGTTTTTTATAGTAAAGAATCTGCAAGCACATATAATCTTAGGAATAGATTTTCTTTCAGAGGCACAAGCAACGCTGGATTTTAATGAAGCGTCCCTTAAGCTGACAATGAAACCAGTTCGTGAAGAAAAGGCTGAACCGCCGATGTTAAAATCTTGACCACCTGCCTAATGACGAGCAAGGAAGAATCCGACAAGTGGTAAGTGAATTTGCTTCGTTATTTAGTGATATTCCAGGATTTACTCAGGTTACTAACCATAGTATTGACACCGGAGATTCAATGCCAGTTCGCCACAAACCATACCGGTATGATAAGAATAAGGAAAAAATTATAGAATGGCATATTCACCGATATGCTACGTAAAAAGATCATAACGCCCATCTCAAGTAGTTATGCTAGCCCGGTGGTTTTATGTAAGAAAAATAATGACTATCCTTTGACACATCCAAAAAGGTGGAGATTCGCAATTGACTACCGTAAATTAAACTCCATAACTAAATATCCGGTATATCCGTTACCTATTAGAAGAAGAAATTCTAAGGAACATAACATCCACCAAATATATGACGACTTTAGACTTAACGACTGGTTATTTTCAAATAGGGGTTAGGCCTGAGGACGTGCCTAAGACTGCTGCTTTTATAACCAAGTCTGGCACTTATGCATTTTGCGTATGCCGTTTGGCCTTTCAGGGGCCCCGGCAACATTTCAGCGATGTATGGACATTGTGTTAAGGCCTGTTCTTGGAAAGTCCACATTTATCTATTTAGACGATATCATTATTACTAGTGATAATCTCGACCAACATGTACAGGATTTAAGACAGGTGTTTTCTTTATTAAATGAGGCCGGTCTAAAAGTTAATGTCGAAAAGTGCAAATTTGCAGCCCCTGAATTAAAATATTTAGGTTACAAAATATCTCAGAAAGGAATCGAGACAGACGAATCAAAAATAATCGCTGTACAAAAGTATCCGACTCCAAACACGGCGAAGAAGCTCTCTTCTTTTCTAGGACTTTGTTCATATTATAGGTCCTTTATAAAAGATTTTGCAGCTATTGCTGAACCATTGTTAAAATTAAAAAGGAAAAAGGCAAGATTCTCGTGGACGGCCGAAGCCAATAGTGCTTTCGAAAAATTAAAACAAGCATTAACGCAAGCCCCTGTGTTTTGAAATTTCCTGAAAAGGATGAGAATTTAGAAATTTCAGCGGATGCTTCGGATTATGCGGTAGGAGCGGTACTTTCGCAAAATCAGCAGCCCGTGGCATTTTTTAGCCGAACTTTAAATCAAACACAAAGAAAACTATTCCGCGACCGAGAGAGAGGCACTTGCAGTTCTGTTAGCAGTGCAAAAGTTCCGAGTCTATTTTGGAAAGGCGCCAATAACAGTGTACTCTGATCATGCGGCGGTAACTAGATTGTACTCAGGGAAAAACTTATCCCCAAGGTTAATAAGATGGGCACTCAAGCTACAAGAATATAATCTGGTAATCAAGCATACCCCCCGGAAAGGAAAATATCGTAGCAGATGCCCTATCCAGAATTAAAATAGATGAAGAAGGTAATACTGTAAAGGTGGCAATGCTCACAGCATGTACAATAAATTCCCGAGAAACTGTAATAACCGAACTGGGTAAGGATCCTGAGTTTGGAAGCATTTATGAGTATTTAAAGGATCCTGAAAATTTTAGCCACCAAGATATTGTGGCGATAAGAAATAGGGCGGCCCATTACGAACTAATAGATGGTCTATTATTTTATACAAAAACTACGAATTCCAACAACGAATTTCGACCTGTTATCCCAGCTAGTCTTAGATTAAATATCCTGCAGGAGCTCCATGACAGCCCTTTAGCTTCTCATGCTGGTATTCGAAAAACTATCCAACGCGTACGCGAGGCAGTCTATTTTCCTGAACTGCAAAAGTTAACAAGGGCGTATGTCCAGTCCAGTCCTGCCCAACATGTCAAGCAGTTAATTATATTAATTTCCGCCCGGCCGGGTTTCTAAATAGTATTAAATCCGAATTTCCAAATGAAATAATTGGCATCGATTTATTGGGCCCTTTCCCAAAAAGTCAGTTAAATAAAAGTCGCTATCTCCTTGTTATGGTTGATCATTTTAGTAAGTGGACCGAAATTGTTCCCTTAAAACGAGCCTCCGCGAAATTAGTTACTGATTCTATTTTAAATAAATATATTTTAAAATACGGGGCGCCCCTAAAAGTTATATCGGATAATGGTCCTCAATTTGTAAGTAATATATTTGAAGACATGTGCCAAAAACTGGGCATACGTCATTTAAAAATGGTCCCGTATCGGCCGCAATCAAATATAGCGGAACGGGTCAATAGAAATATAGTGAAAATTATCCGTAGTTATGTTAAAAATTTTCATAAAAGCTGGGATAACTATGTCAATGAATTTGCTTTCGCCCTTAGGACCGCAAAACATGATACAACGGGCAAAACTCCTGCTGAGTTATTTTTAGGCAGAAAGATTATAACGCCGTTAGATAAATTATTTTATGTGCAACAAAGAGCCCCAGAATTTAAAATGGGTGATATAGAAAAACTAATTAAAGAAGCAAAAAAAAAGAATACTGAAGTAGCACAGAGAAAAAAAAACAGAAGCTTATTATGATTTGAAACGACGGGGGGAGTAACTTATAAAGTAGGGGATGAAGTTTTAAAAATTAAGCATTCACTTTCTTCAGCACCAGAAGATAAAACTGCCAAATTTTTTCCACGATTTGAAGGACCATATGTCATAGAAAAAATAACTCACGCTGTGTGTGTAGTGTTAAAAGCCAGGAAATGGTGAAACCTGCTCCGCAAACATTGATCAAATCAAACCCTACTATGATCGTAATAAAATGCAAATATTTTCAGATCTTTTGCAGGATCCGGCACGGCAGGCAGACACCGCAGGCACAAGCTCCAGAGGTGGAAAAACGACAAGTACAAGGGCAAGCCATTAAGAGGCAGGAGCAAGTGAAAAGAAAGTTTCCCCGCGGAAAAAAATTGAAGGTAACAAGAAAAAGAAGCCGTTCCACCGTCCAGAAAAGAGAGCTCACGAACACCCCCAGAATGAAGAAGGGAGAAGGACGACGTATGCAAAGAGAAGCCAGGAGAGAAATGACGGCAACTATAACCCGGCTCTAAAACGGAAGATCTACTCATCCGACAGGACTCTCCGCAGCAAATGTCGCCGAACTGCGGAAGGGCCACCAGCGGCGGAGGAAAAGTTACAAGGAAAATTTGAACGGCCAGCAACGAGGTCCAAGCAGGAACACGAAAGAAGTTTCCCGGTTCCGCCAAGACCAGCTGCCATCAAACGGCCAAGACCACAGGCAGAGGCGAAAAAGAAGGTATTCAAGGGTGACCGAACTGGAGAAAAAAGAAAAAAGAAAGCTTCTAGAGGAAGGCACTGAAGGGCGAGCCCGTACAAGAAGGAGGATAAATCAAACAAAATCTGCTACCTTTCCAGGACTGGGCCCAGAAAAAAGGATGTCCGAATATCACAAAGATAAGTAAAATTTTATGTTACTTTGCAAACTTAAGTTAATCTTTCATTCTTACTGCAAGTGGCAGATTTCAAGAAGTTTTACCTCATGCGAGGTCTACCTTTATCGCCAAAAGGGCGAGAAATGAGTTGTTACCGATTTTGGTATTATGTTTTTCAATTACTCGCGCGTAAAACTAAAGTTGATGTATAATAGCGTTGTGTAAAGACTTAAATATTGTAAAAAGTTATTGTATAAATTTTATTTAAAACATTCTAGCAAGAAAGAAGTTTTAGTCTGAAAGACTTTTTGAAATGTAGTATTTCAATGTAGAAAGAATTGGCACTTGCTTTGAAAAGAATAGAAGTTAACAATGTACTACTAATGTATGTTTTCAAATGCGTAAAATTAACGGCATGTTAATATGTTCTTATATACAATGTGAACTGTTATTTTAAATGTTAAGAAATACCGTGATATGGTAAAAGTGAATGAAAGTAATGTTAAAAATTTTTTTATTCGTGTGACTGTAAAAAGACTAAAATCATGGTGAATATGTGTTAAAGGTTGAATGAATGTAGTTAGGCTCTCTGACGCTACACTTCAGAGTTAGCCACTTTCAGAATAGTACCTCAGGGTTTAGAGTTGAAATTAGGGGTGTGTTACGAGGTCTTGTTATGTTGAATTTTAACACGTTAGTGTTTTGATTGTAGGAGGAAGTGTTGAACACGTAGTACATAAACACATTCGTGTTTGGTGTTCTTTTACAACACATGTCAGAGAGCACGGGGAGAGATAATTAAAATAGTCATGAATGAAATAAGAATGTTAAGAGAAATATAATTATACATGTTACTTGCCATTTCATTGTGTAACATTTCATTAAACTAGTTTTCCTTCCAGATCTCTGGAAGGAACCAGATTTGAATAAAAGCTCCTGTTTAGATGCAGTACAGATGAAAAAAATTGTGTATGTCCTGGGAGCTGCTATTGTAAAAACAAATTTCTTTCTTTTAAATTTCTAGTTTCTAGCGAAATGTTTGTAAAAGATTGGCCTCGCGTTAGATTCTAGAGCTAAAAGTTTTCAACAAGGTCGTTTTAGACCTCAGTTTCAAACTAATTAACTCTGGCGGGAAGTATGTAAGGATCTTAAGTTTTACTAACGTTTATTTTATTTTAAATCTTTACTATCACTTCTTATTTTCTACTTCCGGCCAGAATTATAAGCGTTAAAGGTTATTTATGCAAAGTTTGTCTGGCGAACGCCAAGTATTTAAGTTGTGGCTTTTTGCCAAGCGAGAGAGAGAGAGGAAGCAGTTGAGTCGAAGCAGGCCGCTTACCTTAGAAGTTTTACTCAGTTGCTGGTTTGCCTTCCAGGCCAGAGGTTTTAATCCTCTTGATAATTTTTAAACGTATTGTAGTGTTCACAGTTCTCTGTACTACATACGGCTTCCTGTTAATATAAGGCCAATCTTCCACGTTTATTATTTCAAAGTTAAAGTTAGAGTTTAGTTTTATTTTTTATATTTTTACGTTTAGACCCACAAGTAGTGGGTCAGTGTATTCCGAAGTACGGAAATTATTGTAAATAGAGAAAAATAAAGGGTTTTGTATACCCTTATTGTGTATCCTGTCTACTTCCCACAGTGATTGAACATAGCTTTAGTAAGCTCTCTGTTCCGAGTCAGGTCCTTGCATGTTCCCGAAGAAAGTAAGACGGAACATTGAACCTGATAACTCTTTGGACTAAAATTTGTTTATTGCACTGTATTCTGCATCGAATGTAAAATCAATACCCAGTATCTAAGTATCTATTTCTTGTTTCGCCTACTTTTTATTTTTCAGATGAATTAATAAGGCTTACTATTGATTAATTGATGTATTAAATTTATTTAAATTTGATAATAATATTAATATTAACTTAAATTTGCAGGAGTAGATTGCAAAATTTGTGTTATCGTATACGGGGTTTTTAAAATTGTTATTGATTTGTTATCAATTTACTTATTTTAAACTTAATTTTTTTTACTTACATTTTAACGTTTTATTTTTGTACTGATTTTCATTAATTGTACACTAAGCGAGATATTAATAGTCTTAATGATATTATATATGCGTCTTATTGATAAAATAAGAGAGACTACTGTGTATGTTCATAAAATAAAGCGAATAATTTGATGTCGCTTTCCCAGCAACATCCGATGGAGGTCCGGCTGAGATCCTACTCCTAGGCAATGTGGAACATCCTTACAGTCTAATCGAATATGAAGATGTAACAGCTGAGGAGTGCGGTGAACTGTGTCTTCGAAATATCCTCTTTCCCTGTCGATCTTTCCTATCTGGACGAGTGGACAGCCGACTTTACTGTGGATTGACCCACCAAAATCGAGAAGGTCTGGTGCAAAATCCTGAAAGTCTGCATGCTTCTAGAAGTCTGAACTATTACGAGATAGCGAGAAGTGTAGAAGGTAGGGATTTGGACTATTTTGGCTTTTTTCATTTGTCATGCCAAATTTGCTATTTTTACTTCAGTTTATTATTTTTCTGTCTTCTATATTTCGTTTTCTGCCTTCTATCTTTCTGTATTTCGTTTGATTGTTACGCGGCGTAAAAGCGCTGCGTTCATTTGTCTCAAAAACCGCGACGCAGCGCTTAGTGTGTTTTTATTGCTCCGTGGCTGTGAACGTACGTAGTCTGACTTCACGCGTACTTTGTAACACGAGTGCATTCTAAAATAACTGCGTCGCGGTTTTCGAGACAAATGAACGCAGCGCTTTTGCGCCGCGTAGCAGTCAAACGGTTAATGTTGGCTGTTTTGCTGCTAGCTGTTTATAGCTTTGTAAAGATAACATTTTTTGATTTAAACTTCTCAAATTTGTTTAGGACTCAAATTCCTTTAGATCCCTTGTTCATACCCTATTTTAAAGTGCAGAAAACGCTATAGCATCATGCTAAAATCTGATTATTAAGAGAGATTAGAAAGAGGGGAAAAATTGAAAGGCTATTCAATTTAATGTTTCGCCAAAGGATTTTCAAATCCTCCGGTGCGACTCTCTCATATATATATATATATATGAGAGAATCGCATCGGAGGATTTGAAATATCCCTCATACATAATATCCAATTATATTCTGCAGGCTGCAGTAATAGTGACAAAATTTATAAAATGCGACGAAATTTTAAATTCGAGACATTTTCAACTTGGAAGAGTTGGCGATGATTAAATAAAGTATTTTGCAAAGCAATACATCTTTGTGGTAAAAATAAGTAAACGTTGAATAAGTGACTTACAGTGATGCTTGGCTCAATCAGGTTGGAATGATGCTCACTGGAGACTATATAGTCTTTAGAGACGAATCCCGCTTCCAACTGTATCGTGACGATCATCGAAGACGTGTCTGGAGACGCCCAGAGTCATAAGAGGCAGGACGGTGGTACGTCGACACCATTCTGAGACCTGTTTTGCTACTTTTCCCTGGCTTTATTTTTCAGCAGGATTATGCCATACCACATACGGCATGTGTTCCTATGCTACGGCACGTGTTACGTGTTGCTAACTGTCTTGCAGTTTGTCAAACACTTCCTTGGCCGGCCAGATCGCCCATCGAGCATGTCTGGGATATGATGGGAAGGCGACTGCATCTACCAGGAAATGTTGATCTAGCCCAACAATTGCAGCAAATTTGGCAAGAAATACCGCAGGAAACCATCTGGGAGCTTTATCAGTCTATGCCACGCCTTGTGGCAGCTTGCATTCATTTGTTAGAGGTGGCTCAACACCTTATTGAGCTTGTTACTTGTAACTATGAAATAAATTCCTCAATTGTTCTGAAATTTTAATACTTTTAATCTGAAATTTTAATCCTTTGTTCTGAAATTTTAATCCTTTTAATCTGAAATTTTAATCCTTTGTTCTGAAATTTTAATTCTATTCTGTACATAATCTTCTTGTCCACCAATTTTTGTCTCCACTGGACAACTCCTTCTTGATGCGTCAGTTTTTTTGTTGTGTTTTGTTATACAGTGTACATAACTAATTAGGAAAATATACATTAAAAATAAGAAAATAAAGTTAAAAAACATTAAATAATAAAACAGCGGTAAGCCCCGGGGACTTAAAACAAAGCAGAAAAAACCAATAAATAAAGGCGAAACAAAATAAATAAATCCCCTGTAAGACAACATTTGATGAATCTATTCAGTTAATTACATATTAGAAAGTTAAACAGAATAAAAGAAAGGAGCTATTCGGTGTCGAATCATGTAATGTAATGTGTGCCTTCAGTGTCATCTCTTAGTAATTAAAGTTTGCAATGTTCTTAAAAACTATCAGTTGGTAACGATATACAGTGCCTATTAGGTGCCTCCACAATAAAATGGCTACCACTTCTGGCCTTAGTAGTGGCCAATGCCGTTATAGTAAAGTGCCCGCCATTTGTAAAAAAAAAAAAAATATACATATATATATAAAGTATTTCTCCCGCCTTCTTAGCATGTCTTCGTGGTGTAGTGGTCAGCACACTCGGCGCGTATTCGAGAGTTTCGTAGTTCGAGGGCATTGCTTATTTTTCATGTCTCTTGGTTCGAAATAACCTAATGTCTCTACAACAATACAAATTAAATAGATTTTAAATTGTATCAAATAAAAATGTTAAAAATATAGGTTTAAATTCCTAAGAAATGTATTCATTGCTTTTAAATTTCTCTGTTTGTAAAGCAATTATAGTCTGATTAGATTTCAAAAGATTTTATTCTCGACCGAATTGCAACGTTATGAAAACTGGCTTTTCACTTGTAAGACTACTTGGATACTATAGCAAGGCTATTGTGCTTTGCTGAATGGTTCCATTTAACAACATGTATATTCCTTTACATTACATTACAAAATGTAATATAAAGAGGAAAATGAGCCAACAATTTTGGAAAAACGTCCCTCAAGGTATTTCTAACACCAAAATTATTAAGAAATACGTACACTACTTTTGAAACTTCCAGATTATTGCAAAGGCACGAACGCAATGAGTTCTTAAAGTTAAAAAATAAGTGAGAATTTCTCTTCCATATACTTTAAATTGAAATCTGACTACTTTGTAATGTTGATTAATGATGGTGTTATGCGAAGGAGGGAAGAATTGAGTGAAGTCATCAAACTAAATGATTTAAATGGTTTCTAAGATCAAATATCTTTTTATCTCTTGCAGCATGTGACTCGAGTGATCTTCACTTCGAGATGATGTCGGGGGTTGTCCTGAATCTTGCACCGTATACTGTGACTACCGACCTGACTCCTAGCGAATGTCTGCAGCGATGTAAAGACGATAGGAGGTGTCGTTCAGTGGGAGTGGACTACAAGAAGGGGGCTTGTCAATATAATTCCGAAAGCATCGGGCTATCATTAGACCCTAAATTGCAGCAGAATGGAAATTTCAATTATTACGAGAAAATTTGTCTTCCAGGTAGGTAATTGTCCTATATTACCATTGTTCTATGTTTACCTTTTTTTTTCCTGCAGAATGTTTGTAGGTCTTTTTTTTCGGGGGGGGGCTAGTAATCAGAGTATCTACAACGTTTTAGGAAGGAAATGTCCCTTCCTTCTTCCCATTTAATTCAAGTTAATAAACAGTAATAAGAGTAATAATATTCATTATTCTGTGAAGTATCACGTCAATGATGGATTAATCATCACTGGTTTGATATTTCACAGAGACACATCATTGTCATGCTGTTTTACAGTTACTAATTCATCGTTATCCTGATAATTTACGGAAATTCTGTCAAATCAGATGGTTAATTAACCATCATTAGCTTCACTGCGTTTTTAAAGAAATATCATCATGTTAACTGTTAACGGGAAAAATGTTAAGAACTATTTAAAATAATGAAAGTAGGCACAAGTTTTCTTAAGTTCTTACTAATTAAAAATGGCTATGAGAATGCTTTATATTTCTATTATACCTGTTAAACCCAATTTTTCTTAGAGGTATTAATTCAGAGCCCACCAAAATGGGCGAGTGGTTGAGTCTGCTGAATGCTCGCAGTTCGATACAATTTCAAAATCCAATGCATGGGCTGGCTACGTAGATGTTTTCATGATTTTCTTGATATGAAACGTAAATAAGCAGATAGCCCTCGTTTTGATTTGTCTTAATAAATTAATGCAAACTTTTAAGCTAGTTTCACATGTTTGTTCGATTATACGGGTTACTAGTGTTTGACGTTACTGAACCTATGCTATAAAATAAATAACTTCAGTGTATGGAGAAATACTTTAACAGAAATAAATGTAAAAAAGGTCAAACGATTCTGCTAGGAAGTGTCTAATATATACCTATAATTCTTTCATAAATTGCAGTAATGCTTTAATTATTCATGTAGAATGTTGGATAGGTATCTAATAGGTGAAATATTTGTAAAAAGCATCAATTATAGTCAATTCCCGATATATAAGAGACGACGTCCACGATTAACTGAAAATCGTGGTTAATACGGGGACAGGTAATCAAGCAGAAAAAGGTAAAGAGCTCGTATTATATTTAACAGAAGAATACTATTAGCAATTTTCTTCTATTTTCTATCCATTCACTTTAAAGAATAAGTACAGTATGTTACGTAAATCAGAGCAATATGAAAAAAAGTGAATAACGGAAGAATAAAAGTCATTAGAAGGAAAAAAGCTAAGTTATGAATAGCATTAAAAATATATTTACAAGAGAAATTGAACTATGCCATTGAGTTAAAACTTGAGTAAACCTATAAATTAGAACTTCTTGTTTTATTGTACAATGCCTGCATATTTTGGATTACACACTATTAAACTACTTGCTGTTGCGAATTTCACAAGTGGTTAAGATTGCTGAATACTGGTAGTTGACCTGGTTTGAGGTCGATTCCAGAACGGGTTGGCGCGTAGTTAATTTTCTCCATATGTAATGCGAATACTCCCCAGTGTCTTTCAGAAAGTTCTCAACAACGGCATTACTCATCTTGAGAGGATATCCGCGTGGCTTTACCATATGCAAATGTCCTAATCAAAACCAATACGAACTGTTTTGGATAAAAACACCATCTGCTGTCACTGCAGTTGTTCTGCGCATTTTTTTTCCTTTCTTGTACTTTACGTGAACAGCTTTGTTTTACATTTATAAATCAAGATAATAATTTTTCCATCATTCTTCCATAATTTTTCCTCCATAATTTCCATTAATTTGTTCTAGACTGCTTATGGTTAACCTGTCCTCATTTAATCAGAGCTGAGTATAAATAAAATAGAGATTTATTATTACATAATGGTTTTATGCCTTTAATTCAAACCGTCGGCTAAGCGATTATAGTTATAATTTGAGAGAAAAATTAATCTTGTATGATTTAGATTAGAATGAGTTCCGAAACTGGATATTTACGAGGCCGCTTGAAAGATACATTCTGAGCAATGACAATATTTGGCAACATAGAAAACATACATAATACTAAATGCACGGCAACGTAACGTAACATAACAAAATGAAAATTCAAAACCTTCGAGAGAGTTTGTTAAAAATGTTTTATTATCAAAATAAATTTAAGAAAAATTATTTATGTTATTAAAACATCCGAGATTAAATTACTGAAACACTCATATATTATTTTGAAATCTCACGATTTCTTACCGCAGCATTGCGATTCCTTGCTATAATTTTGGGGAAATTTTCAAGATTTTCTTTCGCAAGACTACAAACATAATTAATAGTATACAACGTTTTAGTCCTCTTAGCTTTTTTTCTGCAAAACTGTTAAAGATTTTAAAGCTGTTACCTTACTCAACAACTACCAATAACTTGTAATCTGCCAACCTATGCAGTTGCTTAATGAGGTTGTAATGTTGTAATGCAGAAACAGTAAGATTATAAGGGTTTATAATCTTACTGTTTCTGATTGTACATTAAAAACAGAGATTATTTTTAAGTGATCAGAATAACAATGCAGTACTGTTGTTGCTTTTGTACACTACAAACTAATGCAGCGTTGTTATTTGAAAGCTAAGTGAAAGATCTCATGCCCAGGGAACGGCAGCATCTCTCAGATAGTCTGATACACAATTCTATGATGAATGCTGTGCTGATGTAACGAACTTCTCGTGAGTTAGTATATATATATATACATAAATAAGTATTAACTAAAATTTTTAATAGATTCAATAACAATTATTTTACTCTTTATCTTCTAGGAGATAATATCATAAACAAGAAATTATTAGTTGATTATAAATATATATAATTTCGAAAACCATATTTGGATAGATGGACAGATAGAAATATATGTAGATATTATATGATTTTTTATTGTTTTTAGGTTTTATTTTTAACGCACAACACAACTAATAAGCATTTCATAATCCAAAAGAGAACCAGTGAATTTTTAAGCTAAAGCATTCCTTCCATAAAAAAAACTCTTTTCCACAAGTTCCATTTTTCCCAAAGACAAGGAAGCCCGTCACTTTTCGTTCTGCAGGCATCGTCTAAAGAATCACGAAAACCTAAAATATTGAGAAGCTTAACGTTCGGAAGAAAATTCGCCGAGCAAGCGAAAATAAGCATTAAAGAATCATTAGTTTTTTTAGGCTGAACATAAATGGTTAGGACAAGCCTTGGAATTTGGTGACTCAGCTTCTTTCTGGAAGCTCGGCTCTGTCAATCTTTATTTTTTGATTCTCCAGAACGGATATATTTTTGTCTTTCTACTTCTTTTATTTTGTATTTTATCCGTAAGTTTTTTTCTTCTTTTCCGTTTAAATTCTTTGAATCAGAAGGAAAGGTATAGTAAATGTTACAACGTCCAGATGGATATAATAGCTAAGTAAATGTGTAAAGTTTTGAAAATATAATATTATGGTATTTTTAAGCGTTAATTTTATGAAACGTTTACGAATTGGAAAACCCAACTATAAAACGTATGGTGTTTTACGTACGCTAGTTTTAAGAAAACCACGCAGATGCGAAAAAGAATGCTTAAACTATCTATTTCAGTGGTGAATTAATTTTTGAAAAAGAGCAGCAAAATAAATATTATGGTTTCTTTTTTCCAACTTTTGGATCAGCAAAATGTGAATGAATATGCTTAGGAAAATATTTGATATTTATTTAAAGCTTACTAATACTATTTATTTGAATAATTAATTGTTTGCACCAAAGCAAGCGAGGTTTAACTGCCGTCAGAGGGATATGATTGTGGAGGACATTCTGAAGGAAACTGTCTTATACACATAAAGAGAAACCACAAAATCTCCACGTAGCCGTCTCATTTACAAGGAACTAACCTATGATTGGCGAAAGGATAACAGAAGCATTTATCTCTATGATATCTCAAAGTACTTTTTTCTAGACTACTGCCTACTTACAGGCGAAGTTTTCTATTTCAATAATTAACTATCTTCTATTTAATTAATTTCATGGTTTTAATTCCATGAACGTCTCCTATACTGGATTCGATAGATTGTAAAAAGAAGAGCAGTAAAGGTTTGTTTAAAATAGGAGTTAATCCTGAGTTTTTCCACTAAAATGTGACTGCAGTTGAAACCTGGTGCTTTGCTTATGCTCCTGCTTTATGTTACGTCACAGTAATTTCGATTTCGGAAATAGTGAATAAAGACCTTATTGGTGACATTTTTGATCGGAAAAAAATCCTTCTTAAGGAATTTGTTTCCGATTGATAGAAGGGAACATCACATTTTAAAAGGGCGTAAGAGTCAAACTTCTGAAGAGAATTCAGCGCGTTAAGCTTGAAGAAACTCGATCAAATAACTAGTTTTTACTACACGACAATGCACCATCACATAATTAAATTTTCATCAGACGTTTTCTAGCATAAGACATGCGTCAGAAATTTCAGTTACCCCCTTTATTCCCCAGGTCTGGCACAGAGGGCTTTCTATTCACTGTAGTGAAGTCGCATCTTATACATGGTTATTTTGATACCACTGAAGCAGGTGCCTGTTCTTAGATGCGATTCATGTCTATAAATTTGAAATTGTAGAAGAAGAATTATTTTTTAACTCATTCGTGTAGTAAATATCCTTATCAATTGCTTTAAATTTACAATTTTGCATTGTGCCATCGATTTTATTTAGAATCAGGAATTCAAAGTCTTTTCTAATTTTGCCTATGTATACTGTTTAATGCTAGCGTCATTAATAACACAACATTTTTCACGAGGGCAAAGGAAAGAAATCTCTCTCTCTTTTTCTCCCGCAACGTGAGATAGTTGACCCGCTTTAGCATCTTGTATCCTGCCTTCGCATAGCATTAAAGCAGGAAAAAATGAGTGTTCGTTGATCACTGAATTTAGTGCAATTTATATTACGTTTTGGGGACTGATTCAAAGTTTATACTATAGTTTAAAGTTGTTTTGTATTGTTAAAAGTTGTGAAATTAAAGTTGGCTTATTTTATAGGTGTTTATTCTTATTTCTGTGATTCTTTGAAAATTTCACATGATAATGTGTAAAATCTGCAACATTAAGTAAAGCAGCTTTTTTTGTTAGAAATTTGATGTAAATGAAACAGAGGAACTTTTAAAGTACTTAATTCAGCCGATATTTCGATTCAGATCGTGTTCTAAGAAGATTATTTTGAAATGATAAACTTTAACAGGCATGTGCAGTAAATATAAAGGTAAAAATACGAGGCATACTCAAACTATATAATGCAGAAAAACTAGTTAACAGTTTCTGTTGTTAAAAAAAAAAGGTGTTCGTTTGGCGTGATTGTAAGCTATTGGATTTAAAAAGTTCATTGTGATCTTAATATCTATTTTAAGACACGAAAAATTTCGTTGAGATCCTGACTTGAATTATGCCAGTGTCCGGGGGCTTTTTAACGTTTTTTGAGCGAAATCATAACTATAGCCAGAACGCACTGGAGCTTCAAATCTGACAAACTCCGTCATATACCTGAAATACAATATTAACGAAAATACCGTTAAAAGAAAATATCAGTACAGCATTTTATTTAGGTATTAGTAAACTAGAAACAGAATAAACGATTGAATTTCCATAGGAAGAACAAAATGCGTGGGAAAACATTAGCAAGTGGGAAAGACAATGCTTCTTGCAAAATTGGGAAATCTAAAAGAAATTTTATGAGCTATATTCATTCGGTCAGAATGTGTTTAAATGAACTAGAAGCCAATTATGAAAATGCACATATATCTCAGTGCGAAGAAAAGTATTTCTCTGCCCACTAACCATAACTATAGTCATGAGTACATTTTTGGGTGTCTCCGAATGAAAATATTTGTTTCGTTTTATCAAAAAAGTATATTTATAAAAAGAACTGGACTGCATATTGGTTAGCGGATGATTATTAGTTTGAAAAGCAAGGTGAGAATTTGAATCCCATACAAGGATCAGTTAGTTACGTGTTTTTACGCCTTCTCTCGAGCGTAATATCATATTAGATCTAGGGGTGACCTTGTACAACGTTTATGGCGATGAGATGGCTATATGACTTACCGGTTCGGCTATTCTGGACAAATGCGTGAGAAGTGAAGTGTGTCCGGCCATTTGGAAGGAAGGGGGGGGGAAGAGAGGAAAAGAAACCTACATTTTATTCTCTGTATGTCTTATTATTATGAACTTATTTACCTTCCATTTCTTTAATTATTTCACTTAATGGTTTTGGCTTTATGTGAATTTATTATTAAATTTCTCCTTTTTATTTCATTTTTATATTTTAATTCATTATTTACTTAATATATTAACTTAATTTATTAATATTTTCATCCCTTTATATTTTATTTAATTTTTCATTATTTATTACTTTTTTTTTTTTTTTTTTTTTCCCTCTCATTTCTGGTGGCATTTAGAGTTCCAGCACTTCAAATTTAGAAATAACATCCTTTCTTTAGTACTAGAACATGCTTAGAGCTTTTTATATACAAGCGATCAAAAATAGATCTTAGTAAAATAAGCATATTTAAAATATCTATAAACCTTTATAAAGATAATATACTAAAAGCAATAAAGTATTAAATCGATAGACAAATTACGCCTTCATGTAATAAAAGCTGCCTTAATTAGTCTGTGGATTACACAAATAGTTAAAAGTACGTAAAATGGAATAATTTAAATAAAATTAAAAAATAACATGAATATGTCTTATTGCATGAGCAAAATAATTTTGTAAATTGCAATTAAAAATCGTATGAATACCATATAAAAGAAATATCGATTGTTTAGTCTATTTCAATCAAAAATTACAGTCACAGCCAAATAAGCCATAAAGACAATACACAAAATAAAAATTTTTGTTTCTGCAAACATAATGTATATCGAAAAATATAAAATCAATTACCTGTATTGTGGAGCTGTAATATGTGCAAGAAAACAAGTGAAAAGCTTAAATCTAGTAATAAGCGAGTCTGCGAACTTTCTTGAATGCAGGAAAATTTCCTTCTAATTCTAGTCTTTGCGAAATTTTATTAAACTTATTATAAGTATTAAATCGTAACGCTAGTTCTATGAATAGCTTGAACTAAAAGTTTTCTGTTTGTCTCTTGAGATTGAAAGTAAACTTGCGCATAAATCTATACCTAGTGTAAATAACATCAGTATTTCATAACATGATAAGTGAAATTTAAATAATTTCAATCTCTGATTTTGCTAATTTCAGCATAAATGCACCTGCTTTAATCTTTTATGTGTCTCTGCGATGAATTAATTATTGTTTAGCATAACGTATTTACTGATTATACTTCGAAATATGCTATAGTGCGATATGCATCAGTTAAACAAAACTGAATTATGACTGAAGCATATAAAATGTTAGCAAGTTTTTTCAGAAAAGACTACAATTTCAGCATTTCAGAAACTCATAAATTAAAAAGTTTTTATTGCGGACATTTCATTTTTACATTCTGTGCCATAATTAACATTATATAATATAAAGCATTTTATTCATCGAACGATCGATGGAACACTTCCCCAAGAAACACAAAAGATATTCACAACCTTTTCTTACTCCAGACGATAAAAGCGAATAATAAAATTTAATTACTACTCCCGTCTTTCTCTTTAGCCTTCTCCGACTGCTTTCCTGTGCGTTCTATTTTCTTTCTCATTAAAATAACCGGGGCGTCCTTTAGAACGGACGATTTTGCGGTCTTATCGAAACACATTCTTAGACTGCTTCCGAATTTAAGGGAAGTAGATATGTTCGAACAAAAGATATCAAAGATCTCGTCAGGATAAAAGATCCAGAAAGGGAAGGGAGAACCACCCCTCTTACCTTTTAATGAATTTTCGGAGACGATAGCAGAATTTGTGTCCATTTGCAACATTCCATTGAAAGATGCTGTCGTTTGGATATTTATATAGTCGTTGGGTGACTTAATAGTAAACGTGGTAAATATATATGTATATATAGAACAACATATTTCAGAATGATAAATTCAAACTGAGTTCAGTGGAATCCCGGAACATAAAGGTTCCGCAATGTATTGATATTTGTCATTGATTACTTTAATCTACATTATTTTATTACAGGGGACAACATTAGTATACAGTCTTTTAAAGGATTTCGCAATGTTTTGCGGAACGTTTTAGGGATCAGCAGCATTTTTTGTTTAAAATTCTTTGCATTTCCACAACATTTTCTCATTCGAAATATTTGAGGGGCTCCGCATTATTTTAATTAACTAAAAGACAGATAATTTAAGCAAGCAATTTTTCAATTCCACAACAGTGTTTAATTTGTAACTGATTATGTTTGAAAGGTTTTTAAATATTCTTACTCATTATCGGGTAGCATTCGAGCAAAATATTTTTTAAGAATTTCAAAATATTTTTACAGAATATTTAAGGTAAAGACATTATTTTCTCATTCACATTAGATTTCAGGGAATTTTGCATAACTTTTTTCGAATTTCTGCTACCGTTTTATGAACTGCTAGACAGGCATTTCTGTAAAATATTTATTTAGAATACTATCATACAAGTCATAATTCATAAAATTCTTCAGGGGACCCGCTTATTTTTATGAAAAAACAGTAACCTAAAGTAACGGTATTTGTAAATCCTGTGCTAATGATATTTTTAACCTGAATGCTTAATTAATTTAACGAATAAAAAAGTATTTCCAGCATGCACATCGATCTATGCTATGGGATAGTTGTTTATACGTCACCTAACAAAGAATTTCTAAGTTTATTTCTTCTAGTTTAATTATTTAGTTAAATGGATTTATTTTATCCAGGAACTCAGTGCACTCGCGAATGGGCCTTCGAACGCAGCAAGAATAAAGAATTGGTGGGAATCGAACACGAGAAAGTACTCGTTGAAGCCAATTCGAAAGACGAATGTCAGCTGGCCTGCCTCCATCATACCGAATTCGTCTGCTTATCTGCAGAATTCAACTACCAACTCAGCGAGTGTCGTCTCAGCCCTTACAATCGATTTTCGTCCACGGAAAAAGGGGTGTTCCTAACTAATTCGAGATTTGTCGTCGACTATTTTGAAAACAACTGTATCTCAGGTGAGTAAAAATAAAGATCGTCTATTATTATACCCCACAAAGAAAATCTCTTCGAAGTTTATTTTTTGCAGTCTTCAGATTTTGCATCGTGGGAATGCATGTAAATGTCCAAAATGCTTATTGTAACATTAATAATTAATTACAGCATCACTTCTTATCAAACATAATTAGGTGGTTGTAGATATGGATACGCAGCTAATATATACATACCGAGGAATCCGAAAGTAATAGAAAAAGGGAGAATTCAGTAATTTAGAAACTGTAGATAGAGCATGATGCGCAAAGAAATATGGGAATGTTTTATTGTCATGATAGTTAAATTTTCCCCCCGAGAAATGATATTCCGGAGAGGTGGTATTTTGTGTGGGACTGTGTGAAAGTCCATCCACAAGATGTAGAATCTTTACAAAATCAAGGGATGGAAAACAATGAAGCCTGCCTGGCAAACGTCTTGCTCTTTTAAGAGATAGTATCTCCCTGCAAGAGCGGCAAATGCTCCAGAGTGTACGGAGTATTGATATAATGTGGTAGTCCTCCACACAGGCTTTTTCCAGCATCTGATGCGACTGACATTTCATAAAGATCCTATCATCAGTCGCTCTTTCCCACACAAATGACGACCAGGATCTAACAGACCTTACACTACGTGACATTTGGTTATGGGCTTACTGCTTGTCCAAGCGAGAGAGACTGGGTTTGGCGCGCTGCCAAGAAAATGGAACAAGCCAGGGGGGAAAGGAAGGTCTGTAGGGACTGAAAAATACACTTGCTTGGAATTTCCTTCAGTGATCTCAGAGTGTTCTTAGCTTCTCCCTTTTGCGCTTGTTTAAATTAAGTTCTTTCCATCTCAAGATCGTTGTATCAGTCACAATTAATTATAATGTAATACTTTTGTGTTTTTTGTCTAATACTTTTGTGTTCATCCGCAGCAACCCATGTTCTTTATTTTCACTCCGAGAAACAAATCGGAGCGATCAGTAAATCACGTGACCAGTCTCTTCAAAGCAGTACTTGAAGTCACGTGTTTCCAGAGCTTAGCTGACGTTATTGACTATGGTAAAAGGAGTGAATCACATTATGTGAAAAAATTACAGTTGAAATCACTTTTGTGTTGTGCAGAGTGTCGGTCCGCTCTGATGGTCATTCTTATCTATGACGGCTGACACACCGAACAATTGTAATCCCGCCTGCGTTGCAAACTATGCTGCTGTTCTGTATGGAGCACTACCCGTCTGTAAAAAATGTGACTGCTCTACCAACAAAATCTTTCTTAAGGAAACAAAATTGAGGTGCTTCTGCGCATTTGTGTAAAACATCGCATCTTGCTATTGTTTATTTTTGAATTATTGAATTTTTACATTTTTTGTTACATTTAGAACATCAATTATGCATATATACACCATATAAGCGTTCAGTTTTAATTTTAAACACCAAAGATCTATTTTATTTATTACATTTTAATTTTAATTAAATTATAGTTTCATTTTTTTCAGAACCTCGGGGATTCTGTAATACAAAATTAATAAAAAAAGTCAAACTTCTGCTAGCCGAGAGAGTGACGTCCGCCAGTAACGTGGACGAATGCCGCAAACATTGCAATGAAAACAAAGAATTTGTCTGCCGGTCGGTCAGCTTCGATCCAAGATATGGGACATGCTCCCTGTCGCACCACACTAGACGATCTGCCCCTCCGGACTCCCTGATCCGCTCTGATGCCAACGAATTCCTTGAAATCGCAACATGTTTCGATGGTAAGCACAAGTTGAATTATTTCTTCTTTGATAGGAAAGATGAGGGTATAGAATTTCCCACGAAACGCATCCAAGTCTTTTCTTTATGAAAGAACAAAGTTATAAGTTTGTAACAAAACAAAGAAAATCATAAGTAAAGGATTCTGCTTGAGATTGGCGCTAATTTTGTGCTACGAGGGATACACTGACGCCATCTGTGATCGCCAGAAGCAAATACCCCATACAAAACGTTAACTTAATATATGAAATGCACAAAATTCCTGCTTCATTTAAAAATTTAAAAGATCCATTCCTGTAATATACGTATAACTAGGATTATTGATGAAAAGGATGATGATGCATGAAATAGAACTTTAAATAATTACTTGATTCTAATCAGAAACAAATGAATTTGAATGAAACCATGTTTTCATCAAATATTCACTTATAATTTTATTTTCTGAAACTTATCCTAAAATATCGTATTTTGGAGTCTTACTTCCATTTTTATTGGCCACAGATTTTTGAATGTGTGTGTGTTTTCAAATATTTAATCGTTCAAAACTATCCTCAGCATTTAGTTTTTAGGAATTTCTCTTTGAAAGGCGCATTGTTCTAGCTTCATATCTATATAGCTTCATATCTTCGAACCCTGCAAACCATTTAAAAGATTTGAGAACCGGAAACTGGAATCTTTTTTCATATAGTCATTCAAATCTTTGGAATCTTAACATGAAAAATCAATTAAATCTTTTATTTTAAAACTAGTGAAAGATTAGGGTTTACTCTTGTCCAACAGGATTGTTGCAATTTTAGTAGACATGGATCACCAATGTTATATAGAGCCGGCATCAAATGCTACACTCTTAATTTTTTGGAGAGAATTTTACATTCCATTTGTAATGTTTATCTTTAATGATTCTTAAAATAATCTTATTCCTTTTAAGAAAACGTCATTTATCAAACTTCTTTTAAGATTTTACTTACTAAATTTGATTTGCATATTTTTAATACACATATTTAAAAACTGTGCACTTAAATACGTTTTTCTTTAAAAGAAGACCTAAGTTTTAACATTGTCTTATTCATAACTTTTAATATTACATTAAAGTTTTATTTTTCCCGTATTCTTAGTCGAAGGTTTCGAATCTCTTTCAAGTGTGAAATACGGTGCCTGATTTTAAACCTAGTCTGAAATAAATGACTGCGAAATGGAAGGAAAAAAATTGAAAATACTTGAAAAAATATTTCAAATCATGATAGAGAAATCTAGGAAGGTAAACAAAAAAGAATTTTCGAACTTGAGAAAAAGTGGAGATGGAAGAATTTCGCGGAATCTTTTTTCTAAGAATTTTAAGTTAAAACAAGTTCATGTGAAGAAAGAATACGTACGTTCTTTTTTTTCGTCTTTACGGTTGAATATCGCTAGTTATGCTTCAGAAAGAAAAACGAGAGGCACGAAAAATGTTATTTTTGATTCTCAGAAGCTCCAAAACGTGATTTTCAATCGCATTCGGAAGACACGTGGTATCGAAAAGGTGTTATCAAAATTGGACAGAAAACTATAGCTGACACGCAATTGTTTCAACTTTTTTATCCTTTATTAAACATTAAAGAAAGCATATGTACCGAGGTACTTAATACAGGGCATTAGAAATACATTTTATTTGGCATTAGAAACATATTAAAAATTAAACAAAGCATGCCCAGATACTTAACGGTTAGCTTTATAAATGTATTTTATTGATTACAACAAAATTGGGACAATAGTTAAGCGAGTGAAGCACTTGCTAACAGTTAGAAAGGCCATCAAATTAATAAAATGTAAGAAATGTGTTTAAAAAAAATGAAACACTAATTGCTAATTTTCAACTTTGAAACAATTTGAGAAACACTATTAAAACTATTTAAAGGAACGAAACTATTAATTACTTTCTGTTGTTTGATAAACTGGTTACAATAATTTAAAAGCGTTATATTCTGGACTGCGCGTTTCCCTCTCGGCGTTAAGTGAACGATTTTCTCTCTTTACTTAATCTTCCGTCTTCCTCATCTGTCTCATTAACTAGTGCTTCTCAGTTTACTTCCAGGAGGCTTAGTTTCAGCATCATAAATAAAAGAATTACAGTAATTAAGACGGATTTTGTATCATAAGCAGCCTCAGACAAATTGTGGTTAGCTTAATTAATAACATCAGTTCATTCTCACAGCTGATGCTGCTCATTTTGAAAAGTATTGCTGCGTACAAAAGTTTCTAATAAGAAAATGTTTTGCTGCAACTAACGTCCGCCGATTCAAATTTATGGTACTGAATGCGTTGACAGAATGCGCCTAGCAAAAAACAATGATGCTTTACTTGTCTCGTCATAACCTAAAATGTAGCTCTTTATCTCTGTTCCTGCTGCAAGAACGCACACTGTAATGCAGATTAGTTTAACTTGTATTATTCACTTAAACAAGATTGCCTTTGCTATTTATTTAAACAAGTCTATTCAGGGGCCCACAAGTGGTCCATCGGTAAAGTCACTGAACACTTGTAGTTTGGTCCGAGATGCGAAACCCGGCGAACGTACTGGCTGTTTGTGTGTTTCCGTAGTTTTTTTCGTGTATAACGTGTATACGAGCCAGTTTCTCTTAGAACGTCCTCTACGAAAGCATCCCTTCCTTTAGGAAGATACCCTCGAGTGCTTTGCAATAATTAAATAAACCAAACCAGACGAAACCGAAAGAATAGTCTCTGAACATGAAACGCAGTTTCCCTGCTTTTGCTTCAGTAGACCCAATGCTCAAACACTAGTTGAAGCGACATCAGAGGTTAAACACGGATGTTCAGAAATGGAATGCGTTCCAGAAATAGAATGTTTTGTATTGTTTGTAGCTGAATGAGATGCATGATTTGTCCAGATATTTCCACTTTTTGTCTGCCTCGGAAGTACGTATAGTTGGGAAGAAGGACTCTTGGATTTCCTCATGATATTCCTTTGGGTAATTTTATGATTTTCTGTTGCAACTTCCAAACAAAATCATGTGATGGTGTTCTGTGTTAGAAAATGCTTAACATCTTCAGGACAATAATAAATTACCGAGTTTTGCTGCAGCTCTTAGAGGTTGTATCTAAATATTGTCTTAAGTGACTATTTTATTACCATCTGGTATCTTTCAACTAGTTTCCATCATTGACCCGTATCTCGGCAATGGCTCAACATAGCCTTGAGTGACAGCAATGTGCCTTAAGATTGTCAGCTTGAGCAACGTTGCCAACTCGTGCCAACTTGTGAGCATGAGAACGCAAAAATTGTGAACCTTCCGCAGAAATAATGATATGAATAATGCAATAACTGTTGTAGGTTGCATCTGGCAAATGTTTGCTAATCCATTATTTGCTAACTCGACTTCAGCATTGAACTATTCAAAGTCAAGGATATAATGAAAGAGCAAATACGTCTATAGTATACAAATCATTATTTACCGAAGAAATGATAAAGCCAAATACATTTCTAGTTTGATTTACTTTTGAATTCGGCTGTAAATTTATCGCTTCTACACACCCAGGAATGGAAATTGTTTTTTCTGTTTTACGATTTAAAAGACGCAAATTGTAAAATGATACTAAAATATCATGTAAATGGTGTGGAAAATTCGTTAAAGATATATAATTTTAAATAGCAGCTATTCAGTAATTCGAGTTATTCCTCAAAGTCTAGATTTTCTTAAAATAACAATATCTGAATAATGATTCTACTTTCTTTAATTAGTATCCGAGTTTAGTTACGTTGAAGGTAATTCTAAATTTGTCAATTGTTGTAGCTTCTTAAGTGTATGTGTGAGGGGTGGCGACTTTATCAGGTTTAAAATAATAAAACGTTTTTTGGTTTCTTCGCTTGAACGTGAAAACCTGTAATATTTCTTCTATAGTTATTGAGGTTTTATAAACAATTTAGAAAAATATTGATGATTTTATTTCATTAAACGTAAGAAACATTTAATTATAATAATAAAATTTTAAAAATCAGTTAAGTATTTTTCGGCTTAATTGCATTATTCATACCATTATATTGTATATTTTTAGTTTTATTCGGAGGGGAAAGTATCAGAAATGTAATTCCTATTTTTTTTTTTTTTTTTTTTTCGATTTAGAAACGCGACCCATCTTATGTATTACTTAGATTTGTGGCACAGTACGCAAGGGAAATGTGATTAAAAAGAAAACTGCAAAAACAGTTAAAGAAACAAATTTTTGCTATTAAACGTAGAGTAAAGCAAGTCGGCCAACCGGCGTAAAGGAAAACAAATCGGTGCACCGAAATTTAACTTTTGGTCCCACTGGTCAGCTCGGCACTTACGTTGGTGCACCAAATCATGTAACTCACTATACCTCTAAGAGATTCAAATTTAATCAAATTCTCGCCGTGTTAGGGTAAGCGTTACATACACTTTTAAATTGTTGATAATTTTATAACTATTGCATATAGGCCTAAAAAACCTTCACCGGAACATAAAAGCAACATTCAAACACTTTTAAAGTAAAGCTGCCCAATTTATCAATATATAAGAATAAAAAAACGAAGTTCACTTAAGCCAGGTAAGGGTGGGTATATTTATATGTATATATAATTTATTTACTAAAGAATACTGATTATATTATCTCCCAAGATTAATTTTAGTAGAATTATCTTAAAAGAGTGAATCCATACTTAGTAAGTTCAATTTCGAAAAATGTTAAAAATGTTTAACAGGGACTTGAATTAAATCATGAATAACAAAATTTCAATTGTAATTGTAGAATTACTCGATTTCGCACTAAGTAAATTTAAGATCATACAATATATGTGTATATATATATATATATGTAATGATATTTTTAAATCAATTGATTAAATTCTAATCATATTCCTTAAATAATGTGTTGGCGGTTCTCTAACTGCATCCCTGTTCCTAAATTTTGGCGAAATTCTTTCTTTATTATAAATTATATTAACCTGTTGGCGTCCGCCAAATCGCCAAACTCATAAATCTGTCAT